CTGTCAGTTTGCTGTACTGAGATAACATGTGGATTGCTTAAAGCTGTGCCACTGGTGTGTCAAATGCCATAAGTGTTACCATGATGTATAAGTTTTAGAAGAGCTCCCAGATTAAGACAGACTAAGAAGGAGGACTGGCCATCACTTCCTAAATAACAGCCCTCTGAAAACTCTATGAATAGTAGAGGAATGTGGGTGGGTATAGCAGTGTAGTGGTAGAGTCTACATTGTTAAGTCAGTTGAAATGAAGAAAAATAATGATAAACATCATTTAATAATTAGAACATGGAAAGTATAAGCTTGAATGTTAAAAACTAGAAATTGTAAAAAATTAAATGGAACATGAACATCAACATACTAGGCATTAATGAGATGAAATGGACTAGCTTTGACCACTTTGAATCAGAAAATCGTATAGTAGGAGTGGCATCCACTTCTTAAACAACACGCCTCTGGAAACTCTGTGACTTTGATAAATAATGATAGAAAGGCTTCAGGCCTTTTGTTCTATGGTCACTATAAGCTGTGCTCAACTCGTCAGCAATCAACAACTATTCTGGGAATGAAAAACCAAGGAAGAATGGTATATTCACAGTAAAAAAAAAATCAATTAGTGGATTGAGTGAATCTAAATTGAGCCTACCTCCTAATAAAGCTTTGAAAAGCCAGACACATCCAGTTCTATCAACACCAAACAAAAAATATCGTAGAATATGTTTTTGTTCCATTTCTGCCCTCTGGTGGCAATCTTAACCCACAAGCAATCAATTTTTTTTTTCTCCCCTCTGCCTCTTTTTCATTTCTACCTTCCACTTCCACAGTAGCTTGCCTCTGGAAACCCTATGATCCTGGAGAAAGGATGAAAGTTAAACAGGAGGTGTCTAGGACTTTCATTCATAGTGCTTTGAGTCACCTGCAACTCGACAGCACTTAACAGCACCACCAACATAGAGAGCACTACCAATAGCAGAGAGAGAGAGAGAGAGCAGTCCGCCTAGCGGACAGAAAGACATGCTCCCAAGCCAAAGGTGGGTGAGTCTACTCTGCCGCCCTCAGGCCTGCCTTTAATTGTTTCTAGTGAAACATTCTTCTAGGTCGTGTAACCCTGGTGTGTCCACTTGCTGTATAGAGGTAACTCGTGGTTGCTGTGAAGCCAAACACTGTGACACTGATGAGTCCAATACAAGAATGGTTACCCATGGTGGACAGTGTTTGGTGAAGCTCCCCAATTAAAACAAGCTTGGAAGCAGGAGTGGCATCCACTTCCACAATAGCTTGCCTCGGGAAACCCTATGAACCTGGAGAAAGGATGAAAGTTATAGAGGAGGTGTCTAGGACTTTTGTTCATAGGGTAATTATGAGTCTCCTGCGACTTGACGCACTTGACAACAACAACAACAACCTTCAGAACCACTCATACCACCATCCTCCACACCCCAACAATCAACTCCTTTAAATAAACATATACCATCAAAAACAAAACTTTCTAGCTTTTTCTCATGTTCTTTTGTTCATGTGATCTCTTTTGAAGTTCTAGCCTTCCTCCTATAAACATAAACAAAAGCCAGTGACAAACCTTTATAACAGACAAACAAAAATGGCAACCAAAAAAAAAGGCAATGACAACAGTCCAGAATAAGAGTTGCATAGTAAAGTAGTTGGGGGGGGGCAGGGTGAGAGGGCAGGGGCACACTGTATAGCAATCAAAGAACTTTTTTCCCAAAGAAAAAAGCTAACTGGAGGGATGGGGAGGCTGGGAGGAAAATGTGTAACAACGAATGAATGGAAATTCAAGTTCTTTATAAACTTTCTTTAAAATCTAGAAAAATAAAGAGGCAAAACCTTAGTATAAGATTGATATTCTTATATTTTTAAATAAAAATCTGTTAAAGATTATACTGAGAAACAGATAAAGAATAAACTTATCAAATAGTTTTGCTTAACTTGTCTATCAGAGTAAATAACATCTTCTTTATTTGCTTTTCTGTTAAAAATGCTTAATAATTTTAAAAACCCTAAAATATCTAATTACGCTTTCTCTAAAACAGTTGATGCAAATATTTAACATGCTCTGCTCTGAAAAGCTAGAAATTCAAGACCTCCAGAAAGTGCCTCAGAAGAAAATCTGGCAGTTAATTTCCAAAATATCAGCTACTGAACATCCCATGAAGCACAATTCCTCTTTGACATATGCAAAGACTCGGAGTAGAAACTGACTCCATGGCAAATGGTGATACCCATTTTCAAAATTGGTGAAAGTCTAGACACAACCAGTTTTTTTGTCAGCTAGAAAATGAAACCAACTCAAATCAACAGTACTGGAACATTGGGATGAAAAGCAGTACCACTTCAAAAGCAGAAATCATCGGTAAAACTAGACCAGTTAGAAATAATGAGAGGTTAGCATGAATTCACTTCAGCCACATTTTGTCCATGGCAACAAAATGAATGAGTTCTTTCTTTCCTTCTCATTTCCTATTTTTCCATCTGAGAAACAATTCTAATTTGGAAACATTCAAAAGTTATGTCTACAATGAAAAGACTCATATTCACAGTATGAGGGAAAACAAATATCAAAATTATAGAAAAACAAATATCATTTACAATCAAGAAAATGTAAATTAAAAGAATAATATTATTTTCTGTCCATCAGATTTGCAAAAAAAGATTCTCACCACTGGGCCAATCAGCAACATCATGATAGATGGAAAAGAGATTCAGATTTTTAACAATTTCAGCTTACTTGGTTCCACAATCAATACCATTGGCACAATCAGGAAATTAAAACAACAACAACAAAAAAAAACCCAAACCAAATTGCACTGTGAAAAATCTTGCTGTCAAGGACTTCTCCAGAGTGCCAAAGAGCAATAATGTCAGTCTATAGAGACTAAGGTGCACCTGACCCAGGCCATTCATTGTCTGTGCAAATTACTTGCTATGCATCAGAGAGCTAGACAATGAATAAGGAAGACAGAAGAATTTATGCCTTTGAACTGTGGTGCTGGAGTAGAGTACTGAACATATCATGGGCTGCCAAAGAAACACAAAAACAGGTCTATCATGGAGAGGGTGAAGCCAACCTGCTCCTTGGAGGCAAGGATTTTGAATCTCCATCTCACAGACTTTTAGCTTATTGCCAGAAGGGACCAGGCCTTGGAGAAGGACATCATGCTTGGAAGGGTAAAGGGACAGCGCAAGAGAGGAAGACGCTGGATGAGATGTATTGACACAGGAACTGAGATAATGGAGGTAAGTGTGTGTGAGAGGGTTCAAGATAGGGCAGGGTTCAGAGCTACTGGGCATGGGGTTGCTATGAGTCCCAGGCAACTCAAGGGCATATAACAACAAACAACAACATTAAGGAGTGAAAAGTGATTTACATGCAGCAAGGACATAAACTTTGCAGAACCAAAGGGTAGCATTTCATAGATTGACTTGTATCCTCCAAAAACACATGTTTGCTTAGCAAGGCCACTGAGTCTTAGTGTTTTGCCAGTTATGTAATGACCTCTTATGATCTGATAAGTCATTCAGTTGTAAGAAAATTAAGGGTGGGGTGCAACACCCTTAAGCCATAGACTGGTGTGGAGTTGCCCTAGAACGTGGCCTACAACACCTTTTAAGACCTTTTATCCAGCAAGAAATAAAAGGAGAGAGAACAAACAGAAAAAGAGGAACCTCATTATTGCCCAGAAAGTAGAGCTGGGAGCAGAGCTCATCCTTTGGACCTAAGTCCTTGTGCTGGGAACCTCCTGGATCCAAAGGAAGGCCAAGCCTCATGGAGATCTCCACGGAATGCTAGGTCAGCAGATGCTGACGGGAGACAAGGTTGCCCCTCCACAATCTACACAATGAGAAAGCCTTCCCCTAAATTCAGACTTCTAGCCTCCTAAACTGGTAGAGAATAAATTTTCTTGCTAAAGAAGAAGAAGATAAACCAAACGAAAACCACCTTAAAATTTTACAGCCCTTCCCGTCTCAACAGAAATATGGAATCAACACACCACCACCATGCTCTATGGGAATAAAGTAAAACCTTCTGCTCCTTTCACTCTGCTGGAAGCTGGAGGGTGCTAGGCCCCTGTGTAGTAGTGCATAGAATTCTAGCTTTTTTCCTCTCTTTGTATATTGGGCTCAGAGATTACACTGTGTCTCTATGTGAATATGGACAGTTAGCATTTACCAACATGTATCTGTCTACTTTCTCTTGTTTAAAAAAAGAAGGAAAAAAATGGGGTTATAGAAGGTCAGCAAAGGGTGGGTTTGAGATGTTTGGGTGGGTTAAGTGGGCATTTTTGACAACATGGCTTCTCCTTTGGCATGTTTAATTGTGATGTTTAATGGACATCCTTGCAGTTTAAGATGACACTTTTAAAATAAAATTCTCTCCTAATGATGACTTGAGCCCTGCCACTCGATGGGAGAATCAGCAGAACCTGTAGGATCTTATTTGGAATTGACATTCTCTATTGTAATTTTGTTCCCGTTTATTTTTAAAATTTCTTTTTGTTTCACCGGAAAGAAAAGATGATGCTCAGTTTTAAACGTTAAAAGCTTTGTTACAATAAAACTAAATGTGTACATGAAAAAAAAAATTTTTACAGCTTTGGAAACCCCAGTCCCACAGGATCGCTGAGTCAGAATGCACTCAATAGCAATGAATTTTATTTTCATACTTAAAACATGCATAGCAATCGATCCAACAATTCAACTTATAGAAATCAACTCTAAGTAAATAATTGCCATATACAAACAATGATATGTACAAAGATGTCCACTATCCTTTTAGCCTAAAATCATTGCCATATTGGACATTGTCTTTCCCAGCAGCTATGATACAAACTTCTGTCAGTAGAGGGTGCTGGAGGAACATCACAAAGGGAAAGGAAGGTGGTGGTGGAGTTCTTTCCACTTTTTTGTTGTTGTTAACATGTTGCCACACACTTTTAATTGACAACCGTGCTTAGAAACACATATTTTTTTTTCCTATGTATTACCGTCATTTGCGGGAATTAATGAGACATCAGCGGCATTTGCCTACCATCAAGTCCTAACAGTAACTGCTGGGAAGCTTCCCACAAAAGTTCAACAGCATTTCTGGGAAGAACTTTCTATTAAGTGCTGTCAGTACCCAAGTGAGTAGCTTCCCAGTCTCAGTGGTAGACCAACAGCAGGTGGCTTCCCAAAAAGTAAGCTTTGTACCTCAACTGAGGACAGCAACATGCAGTATCCTGCTTTCCAGTCTTAGAAACTCAGCAATATTATTTTGGAGCAACAATCATACTCTTTCCCCTAGGAACTAATTATCAGGCTTGGAGGGAAAACATCTTCAAACTTTGTTTCTTCTCTGGGTATTTGGCCTCAGTCTTAAAAGTAGTTACAGTTCCCTGTATCTGCTAATAATTGTGTTCTTTTAGAATTCAGGATACTATCCGTACACATACAAGGAAGATCTGCTAACACCACTATCATTCTAATTTATGCACCAACAACTAGAACCAGAGGAGGAAATAGATGATTTCTATCAACTTTTGCAGTCAGAAATTGATCGAACATGTAACTAAGATGCATTAATAAAAATGGGTGACTGGAATGCAAAAGTTGGCAACCAGGAAGAAGGATCAGTAGTCAGAAAACATAGACTTGGTGACAGAAATCAGGCTGGGGATAGAATGACAGAATTCTGCACAAGGAATAATTTATTCATAGCAAACATTTTTATAAGAAACATAAACGCAGTCTATACACAAGGATTTTACCCAATTAAATGCACAGGAATGAGAATGATTACATCTGTGGAAGGAATCGTTGGAGAAGTTCAAAATCAGCAGTGAAAACTAGGTCAGGTGTTGGTTGTGGAACAGATCATCAACTATTCATATGCAAGCTCAAATTAAAACTAGAGAAGGTCAAGTCAAATCCACAGGAATCAAAATTTGACCTTGAGTCTGTCCCATCTGAATTTAAAGACCAACTCAGGATCAGGTTTGAGGCCTTGAACGCTAATGAATGAAAAACAGATGACCTGAAGAAAAATACCAAGAATATCACCCATGAAAAAAGGAAGTCAAGGAGCTGAATAGAAAATTTCAAAGGGCAGCACGTGAAGACAAAGCAAAGCATTATAATGAAATGTGCCACAGAACTGGAGTTCAGAAATAAAAAGGGCACTTTTGCTCGGCATTTCTTAAGCTAAAGGAACTAAAGAACAAAGCCACGCTTCAAGATGCAATACTTAAGGATACTATTGGTAGAATACTGAATGATCCAGGAAATATTTAAAAGAAGATGGAAGGAGTATACAGTCATTGAACCAGAAAGAATTGCCTGACACAGCAGAATTTTAAGAAACAACATATGATAAAGAGGCAATGGTGAAGGAGGAAGTCCATCAGGCTACTCTGAAGGACTTGGCAAAAAATAAAGCCTCAGGAATTGATGGAGTATCAATTGACAGATTTCAACAAAAGGATGTTGCCTGGACATGCTCACCAAGTTGTGTCAAGTCAACTGACTGGAAGAGATCCATATTTATTCTCATTCCAAAAAAAGATGACCCAATGGAGTGGGGAAATGATTGAACAATATCACTAATATCACACACAAGCAAAATCCTACTGAAGATTATCCAGAAATGACTGGAACGTACATCGACAGAGAACTACCAGAAATACAAGCTGGGTTTTTAAGAGACCGTGGCACTAAAGACATTTTCACTAATGCTAGATGGATCTTGGCACAAAGAAAAGAGTACCAGAGGGATATCAATCTGTGTTTCATTGACTGTGAAAAGGCACTTGACTGTGTGGATCACAACAAATGGTGGTTAACCTTGAAAATGGGAATCCCAAAACACTTGATTGTGTTTATGCAAAACCTGTACTTGGATTAAAAAGCAGTCCTCAGAAAAGATCAGGGAAATACTGCATGGTTCAAAAAATGGGAAGAGAGTGCATCAGGGATGTGTCCTGATTCCTACCTTTTCAATCTATATGCAGAACAGATCTTTCAGGAGGCTGGGATTTATGAAAAGGATGTGGCATCAGGATTGAAGGAAGATTTACCAATAATCTACGTTATGCAGATAACACAACCTTACTTGCTGAAACTGAGGAGGACCTGAAGCGCTTGTTGCAGAAAGTCAAGGACTGTAGTTTTCAATATGGACAGAAGTTCAACATCAAGAAAATAGATTCTCACCACCGGGCCAATTGGCAGTACCAAGATGGATGGAGAAGAGATGGAGGTTAACAGTTACAGCTTGCTCAGCTCTACAATCAACACTCTTGGCATCAGCAATCAGGAAATGAAAAGACAAATTGCATTGGGTAAATCTGCTGTCAGGGACCTCTCCAGAGTACTGAAAAGCAATGATGTCAGTCAAGAGACTCAGGTGTGCCTGATCCAGTCCATGGTCTAGACAATGACTAAGAATAACAGACAACAAATTGATGCCTTTGAGTTGTGGTGCTGAAGAAGAGTCTTGAACATACCATGGACCACCAAAAGAAAATATAAGTTTGTCTTGGAGAGGGTGAAACCAAATTTCTCCTTGGAGGCTCGGATTTTGGAGCTCCATCACACATACTTTGGGCACATGGCCAGGAGGGACAGATCCTTAGAGAAGACATCATGCTTGGAAGGGTGAAGGTATAGTGCAGGAGAGGAAGACCCCAGATGAGATCGATTGATACAGTAGCTAGGGCAATGGGGGTAGGTGTGTCGGAGTCAGACTGGCTCAGAACAGGGCAGTCTTCAGAGCTGTTGTACAGGGTCACTCTGAGTCACAGGTGAATTGATGGCACAGTCCGTTTTGCTGCTCCTTGGAGACAAGGATTCTGAAGCTTCATATGGCATATTTAGGGCATGATGCAAGGAGGAACCAGTCCATGGAGAGGGACGTCACACTTGGGAGGGTGGAGGGACAGCAGAGGAGAGGAACACCCTCAATGAGATGAACTGATTCAGTGACTAAGGTAATGGAGGTAGGTGTGTCAAAGACAATAAGGTTGGCTCAGGATAGAGCAGGGTTCAGAACCATCATACAGAGGGTCACTATGAGTTGCAAACAACTCAACAGCATATAACAACTTTTACTGTCATAGCACATACTGTTGAGTCCAAACCAGCCATAGCTGACCCTCCAGCAGGTTTACAGCCTTCTATTACTAGTTAATAATTCTTTATACTTAACTATCCCTATTTAACATGGGGGGGGGCATTGGTGGCCTAGTGGCAAGAAGCTGCACTACACATACTTCAAATCTACCTGTGGCTCTGTCTATCTCTAATTTATATAGCTCTATGGAAGAAGGATGGGCAATCTTTTCCCGTGCAATTAGCTGCCTCTAAAAATCCACTGGAGGGTCAGCTCTTGTTTGGTTCTGACTCAAAAGTACACAACAAACATGTTGCAACTGTAGATAACTATTTAACAAGTTGCTTCTGTCCAGTGAGCAGAGCCCTGGCTGAAACATTATATCATTTATGGTGTTTTAAAAAACAACAATAAAACCTGTAGTGTATATATACATATACACACCATTGTTCAAAATCAGGAAGGGTGTCTGTCAGGGATGTATTCTGTCTCCACACCTTTTCAATCTATATGCAGAACAGATCATCTGAGATGCAAGGCTGTAAGAAGAGGAATGTGGCATCAGGATTGGAGAAAGATTCAACAACATGCATTATGGAGATGACATGACCCTGCTTGCTGAAACTGAAGAGGACCTGAAGTGCTTGCTGCAGGTCAATATGGATTGAAGCTCAGCATAAAAAAAGCAAAACAAAACAAACAAACACAACAAAGATTCTCAATGCTAGGACGATTGGCAGCATCATTATGGATGGCGAAGAGACTGAGATTGTTAACAGTTTTTGTTTGCTCAGCTGCACAATCAACACTCTTCGTACCAGCAGCCAGAAAATCAAGAGACAAACTGCATTGGGAAAATCTGCTGTCAGGTACCTCTCCAGAGTACCGAATAGCAACGATGTCAGTCTGGACTCTAAGGTGCACCTGATCCAGGCCATAGTCTTTGCAATTGCTTGCTATGTGTCAGAGAGCTGGACAGTGACTAGGGATGATAGAAAGAAAATTAATGCCTTTGAGCTGTGGTGCTGGAGAAGAGTGTTGAATATACATCCCATGGACTGATAGGAGAACAAACAGTTTCATCCTGAACAGGCTGAAACCGGGCTGCTTGTGCCGCAGTGGGCTATGCCACAGTGGGCCACTGGCTCTCCTTTTTTTTGCTTTCCCCTCTGTACTTCCCAATGGCTTTGACTGTGGATGAGCAGAGGGGCGTGTGAGTGCGCGTATGTGCGTGTCTGTTCTGTGGGTTTGTCAAAGGCAACAAACCATTGAATTAACTTTTCATGTCAATTTCTGGTAATTAAAATATCAGAGGACAGTTTCATGATTTGGAGTTACTTTTGGGAGGAAACTAATTACAAATGGGGGAAAGTAAGATAAATTCTAAAAAACTGAATAGTGTTAGAGAGATTTCATGTGACAGTACGTTGACAGTATTACAAGAGTCCATGAGATGCCAGAATTGATGGCACTGGCTCATTGTGACAGGAGCATGTTGACATTGGGCATGTAGGAATTCAGCATAATTTCTCATAGTGATAGGAAAATGGACAATTTCGGAGTCATGGTCTTCAACTGAAATAATGTAAGTGGATAAATTCTAGGTTTAACATTTGCTACTCCTTAAGCTTAGCAACCTAGAGTAGAAGAGGAACCAATAGATTGAGTCCAAAAGTGCCAGCAACTATTTTCATAATTTCAGCTTTACGTTTCAAGATCCTCCCACCTCTAACTAATTCCACAGTAACCATGGTAAAATCTACTACAACAATCAAGCACTAAAAGTTCACATTCTTTCTTTACCTAGTAGAGAAACCCCAAACAAACTTCTACTGAGGAAATCAGCTTGAGGAAGAGAAGTAAATGTGCTATTCATATGCGGTACAGACAATAGAATTTTGGAAA